AGATGGTACCTGAGTACACTCTACGAATTCTGATGCTGCTCGCTTAAAAATATTCCTTTGTTGACAATTACGTGTATGTTGTGTGGGAAGTTGCAAATTTGTATATTTTCCATTCCTCCCTGTTCTCCTTCCTGAGTTCACAAATCGGCTATTTTAATTCTTGAAATAAATCAAATCGACGCACGCTCGTAACAGCTCGCGGTATTCACACACCTGTAGAAACGGGAAACATATATAGTAATTTTATATTACTAGCACAACACACAAGTTGCGCTAGTAAAGTGCGCTACGCGCACGCTATTGTTATTTTTATTTAACGTGTTGTCAGTGAACACAACCTGTCACCGCGATGACAGATAGTATATACGTCTTATAATTTATATAATACACATATGAGAAATGTCAGAAATAACGCATGAAAATCAAACTCAATAACTTACAACATGTGTTAGCACATCGAGGAAGTAGTTGCTTTTCCTATTTGAGACATCTCTTTGATTGATCGAATACCGCGCATCTCAGGAATATCATATCTTCTTACATAATGGCAACATCCATTGTAACCACTCACTATCAGCAGAAAGAAGAATGAGAGCGGCAAGTCCCACAAGAGTTTTTACGATCGCCCGTCAGCTAGCGCATGTCCACGAGTGGTTCACATTGGCAACTACTGTTAAGGTTTAATGTTGTCTAATAGTTACTATACGCTTTTTATTTCACTGTGGCGGAAAAGCGATCGTAACAATTCTTATGGGCCGTAAAACGACAAAAATCACGAGAAATGCAGAAACGAGTCGAACGAAAATCTTTGCGTCGCGCGTTGGCCACAACTGCGCGCCACGTGTTGTGTATCGAAGACGCGCGATAGATCGAAATCGATCGATTCTCGAAATTTGGAATCGATACGCGAGAGTTACAGAACGATCGATCAATCAATCGGTAAAGTAGCATTTTCATTCACCGAGTTGGTTCGTGACGATGGAGTTTCCGACCTCTGACAATGATTTTGATAGTGACTGATTACAATGGATGGTTCTATCATGATGTAATTTTTATTTACATTTATTTACTTATACGTTTGATATATTAACATTTCACAAGTTAGATACGTTTTATATTCAGTAGACGAAAATGTGAAAATGATTTGAATCTCTTTGTAAATGTGGAACTTGAAAAAAGTTTTCAAAGCCGGAGGACGGCGCGCGATAAGAGGTTGCGGCGAAAGAAATTTGTTTTCTCCGATGCGGAACAATAATGATACATTCTACTGTATCACATATACATCAGTAAAATACGAATCAGTCGAGATCGATACATGCGGCCTATATGATGTGTAGACGCGCTTGTGTCGCGACACGCATGTGCAAGAGGTAAATCCTGTCGGTAAGAATGTAAAGGTAGTTTTGCTATCGTCCACACTGACAGAATACGTACAGCTGTTATGGCTGTCACAAGTTTCACGGGAAAATATAAACACTCCAAGTAACTTCAAAAATGCATCGTATTCTTCGGTGTGACTCGTCATAATTATTGAACTGTGTTATAACTTTAATCACAAATTGAAGTTTCTATTTTTTTATGTAGAACGTTTTTTATCATAAGGTGACGATATAAATTTAAACACACACGCACACGCACACACACATAATTACAGTTTTTAAAATTATAATTGTTGAAAATTTTGCATATTTACATATACTTCCAGTTTGAAGTATGCTGATATGAAATATACATATTGTTTATGAATAGTGATGAATATATAACAAACTCGCAATTTTAATTATGTATCAAGTTGTGTGTCAACAAAAGTGTTTAATATTTTTTAGATAAATTTAATGTTTCCATGGATGCGTGATCAAATAGAGGCCTGGCATAACAGAAAGAGTGCAAGGACAGCTGATAAGCGGTCCTTGGGGCTTTCTTCTGTGAGCACAGGCAACTCTGAAAACAGAAACATGATTATGGATTTACCTTCCTCATCACCTGAAGGTTTTCCTATCAACATTATCAGGTTTTCCATTAATTTTTATGACTTGATTGATGTTATTCAAGAAGTAACTTTGTGTATATAAAATACAATAACAATATTTCTTATACACAGCATAGAGGGCAACATACTAGATGTTACAGTAAAACCAAATTTCACTATAGAAAATTTAAAAAAGATAGCAGTGATGCATTTCTACGGTCAAGAAGTGAATAAGTCTTCATCATGCTACAGCTTGGTTCATTCATCCAAATGTAGACGGCTTGTAGATTCAAATTATATAGATGACGAGGAAATCAATGAATATGGTAGTAATTGCTATGTAATTATATTTTATAATTTCAAATGCACCTGTTGTTAGCGCAATTTTTCTCAAGTTATATCATTTATTTATTTCTACACAGATGAATTATTATTAGTGGAAAATCGAGCGCAAATACAAGAAAATCTCTCAGATGAATCTCTCAAGGGTCCAAGTCGAGATGCAATAGCTAGAGCTACAAGTAATCTACCTAGTCGAAGTACATCCAAACCTATGCCACCCACGGAATGTCCTGCTGATGTAAATATACTGTTAAAGTTTTTCGTTATATTTTATGTTATTTTATGTAATCTACGCAAATCTTCGCACAGTTTCAGGATGAAATTCGTAAAATTTTAATAACTCTTTCACGAGCATCTGCAAGAATTTTAATGCACAGTCAGCATGCTGAAAATTTGTATGACGTCATTAAAGGCAGACTGGAAGATAAATACAGACTTACTCATGATCCAAAGCTCGTGAAAACTCTCATGGACATGGGTTATCCTCAAAAGAAAGTTGTCAAAGCACTTCGTCTGCGAAAGTAATTATCAGTGTCTATGAAGTAATATTTAAAATATTAAGTAAAAATTTTAATTTTCTACGATATTAATAATGACAATTTGATTATATGTAATAGAAGTATATTTCTATCTTAGATTGCGTATAATAGATGCTTTAGAATGGCTTATAGAACACCAGGACGATCCAGATGACCAAGATAGTGAAACGGATCTCACCATGGATACAACAACAGACGCAAGTGCCGCAGATCCCGGTTCCTCAAGTCCCAGAATAAAGTGGTTATACGACGAATGTGACGAACTGTTTTTGGATTCTGGTAATTCTCTCGCGTAGAACAGTGATATATACATATATATTTTATTCGAACCTTTGTTTAATCGTTGACATTTATCTTTCACGTGAAACTGAAGAGAATGCATTAACTTCAGGAAATCCGAAAGAAAAAAATCTAATATACATTGTAGAATTAATGCTGGAATGTTTCCGGCAGTACAAGAAAATGGAGTTCAAACCTAATAAAAAAGCGCTGTGGTCGCTCGTGGATATGGGTTTTGAGGAAAAAAAAGTTGTAGTAGCGTTGAAGATTACCGGAAACGATCAGGCTAATGCTGTGAGCAACATTTTATTATGTCCTGAAGAAAGAAATGTGTACTTTACAATTTCAAATTAATAATTTTTCCGACAGTGCGCCTGGTTGCTGGGTGAAAGGAGACGTAGCTTGCAAGATCTGGATGAGGGTCTCGATCCCGAGGGGCCAATTTATAAAGCGATTATGAGCAATCCTCTCATACAGCTTAGTCTTACCAATCCTAGAATGCTACTCGGTAAGATGTCAAGGAAAGTTGGAAAATTTGAAGAATATGAAAATTGCAAAGATTTTTGTGAATTTTTCAACTATTTTTCAGCTTGTTTATCGATGATAGATATTCCCGCAATAACAACAGTATGGGCCAGCGACCCGGAGATCTCGCCTGTTCTCAATCAGATAACCAAAACATATCACGCTGAGAAACACGCTCTCCATATGAATCGTTATAGTACCTCTATTTAGGACTACTCTGTGAAACTCGTTCGAGTCTCTGAAACATCATCGACACACATAGCGCGAAAGGTATAATTTTAAAAATAACTTTCGCGGAGAGAGAATAAGAGAGAGAAAGTTTTGTAAAATCGTAATAATTATATATAGTTTTGCTTATGTAGTAATAGATAACAAAGATGTATAATTTTGAAATTTTTGCTAGTCGACACAAGGAATATGACACACGCACGAAGGTGACGTTCCCAAGAAATATGCATTTCACAATACACTGTAATATCAATCACACACGTACACACGCAATGATCTCCATGTGAAATGCTAAAACTTGCTTTAGATCTTTGATATCTGTTAAGGCTTATTGAGAACAAAAGAAATATGCTTTGGTATATTTAAAAAAAAAAAAAAAATCCAGTTCTGTTATATCCACAATATAAATTCTGAAATGAAATAAAAGGTCTCACAAATTTTCATGTTAAATTTGCGTTACTTCTTCTGCGACTTTCAATCAGAAAGAAAGATCAAATGTGCATTTTAAAAAGTGTTTGTAATACATGTCAAATCAGCTATCCTTTTGTCAAAACAAATGTTCACCGAACAATAGTGAATTTTATTCCCTTTTCTCCAGGTTTTAAATTCCCGCTGCTCCTATACATCCGAGTGCTTCACAATCAATTGATCAATTTGGTCAATTCGAATGGAATTTATTGAGACAAAATCCGGACCTGATTGGTTACATATCAATTTCTTGCGCATATGTAGTTTAACTATGGACCTGCAAAATTAACGAGTTGCGCCAAACTAGAATATGAGTCAGCAATCACGTGATCAACTGCGTGCGTTTGCGCGCATGTGTGGGATTTGATTATAAATATTTTTTTATACAATTTACAAGAGATTGTAGACAAGAAAGATTTTTTTATACCATTCCTTTGCAATTAGTGTAAAGAATATAAAGAAGACGGATGAAAAAATCTTTTGATCTTTTGATCTCTGACATCGTTAAGCAACGGCGCATGCGGATTAGGGCGATCCGGAGCGCGTGGAGCGGGACAACCGACGAGTGAAATAAACGAGTCGCGCGTATTACATCGATCATCATGTAGACGCGCTCCGAAAGCGCTTGATCGCGAAGAGAAAAATTGACGGTTCATTTCTGGGGTGTATTTTGTGCACGATAATCAGCGATAATTAATTCATCGACGGCAAACTCTACGTTGAATTGCAATAATATGACAGAGCGCGTAAAACAGTTTCTTTAGAAAAAAACGACATAAGTTTCAACAATTCAGTCGGAATACTCTTACGCGATTAAAATACTTTTACGTTTCACACGATGATAAAAACTCCAATTAATAATTTAGTATAAAATAGAGAGACGAACTCTTGTGTGCATGTGTGTTGCGCGTTGGCGAGATCGCGAGAAATAAATAATAACAAAGAAGAATTTTAAAGGACAAGAAGTATTTTTTTGCAGGTAAATTGCATTGACATATTCTTCTTGTGAGTATACATGTATAACCAGCATATGTTTATTTTTGCAAAAAGCATAAGTAAATAAATAATGAAATGTTCGAAACATTTGATTTAAAAATTTAGAAAAATAAGAAAATTAATAAAACGATATTATAAGTATTTGCCAATAGTGCCTATTGAATTTTAATGGTAACACGTAAAAATATGTTAGTTTACATATAATTAAATTGCATTCAAAACATTTATATATTAAAATAAAACTCAATTTTAACATTATCTTAAAATAATATTTTTTTTTTTTATTTTGATTTAACACAATTTCTTTATTTATATTTTACAGATTAAAAAATATTATTTGTTATTTATCAATAATTTAAAAACAAATAGAATGATTGGACCATCAGAGACAGCTGGTAAGACCACTGAGAATCAGTGTTGTCTCTCTTCCAAGAGGAAGATCTTTGATGAACTGGACATTGATAGCTATTGTGAGGAAATTCCTCAGACAAATCATAAACGTTGTCTTCAAGAACTTGACAGGCCAGTAGAGCTGGTCACCACATCAAATGAAATTATTACCAATGCAACAGCTCTTTTCTCACCAATGTCTGGTCAGGAAGTTTTTGAGGAACCAGTGACACGCCTGGAAGTACTATTGGTGGATGGTACTAACTGTACCTGGACAACTGTATCAGAGTTGGAACAACAGCAGAATCTTGATGTACTTGTTACCTCATCTTCTTCCTCATTATCATCACCATCGGTTACTTCCTCTGGATGTACCGATCATTATACTACAGAAACTTATATTGTGGAGGAAGCCAAACATCAATCGTCTAAAAATTACTGGGAACCAGTTGCTGCGCCTACATTATTATTCACTAATTCCAATATGCAACAATACAAAAACCATACATCAAACAATTATCAGCAACAACAGCAGCAGCAGCAGCAGCAGCAATTTGAGGATCAAGAGAACGGCAACTTGTCGTGGCTGTTGGACTTTAAACTGGATTCATTTATCGAAGCCGCAGACAGACCTACTATGGGATCAGTGATGACAAAAGACAATCATTGTGGTGAGAACAAAGTACACAGAGGATGAAATAGATGTTCTTGTGAATGTTAAAAGCAAAATATTATTGTTCTTGGATAATTGCAACATTTCTAGGTAACAAAAACAAACCGAACGGGCGTTTAAATAATTCCAATGGAAAAGAAGTTCGAAGAGGACAACACGGCAATCATGAAAATTTGTCGATGTACAAACATGACGCGAATCAGGCTACGTATCACATCAACGAAATCAATACTGGGAATCTCTCGTCTTCGCGATCAAACGGATTGAAGAAACCTCCTTTTACTTACACCGAATTGATAGAGCACGCTTTGCAGGAAAGAGGCGAGCTCACCGTTTCTGCGATATATCAATGGATTTCGTAAGTTTTTTTTTTTTTTAAATTACTTCAATATATTTTGAAGCTTTGATTTGTGTGTGTGTGTGTGCTCTTTGTTGCAACAACTTAGGAACATTTTTTGGCACCTCTCTTTCCCTCTTTCTCTTCACCAAATAGTTTATATTAATTAAAAATTTGTAATCTCGCGCGTAAATATTTCCTCGCCTTCTCTCTATTTTCTCTCCGCATATATGCATACAAAAAGTTTTGCTTTCGAGGAAATGCGTGAAATTCTTTCTAATTTGAAATTCTTTTTCTTCTTATTCTTTCTTATTTGTGTATCGGACAAAGAAAAGTTTTTTTTCCACGAATTTAAACGAACACGGATCGCCTGGTTGAGGGAAGGTAGGAAGGTAGGAGCGTAGGTTGCTCCTGGATGGTACTCAATGGTACCACTGCCCCCATTGCTTGGCACCACCTGGTACTAACTCCTCACCCTTCGACTATTCTTCGCGTTGCAGCCCGCAACACGAATACGCGCAATTTACTGCTCCTGTGCTTTCACCTGTTCGATCGCTCGCTACCCGAGCTCCTTGGAAAAAGCACATATAGACTATCCAAGTCGCTCGAATAATTGAATTACAAGAAAAGCATATATCGGATTTTTTTCCAATCGACGGTTTTCCAAACTATTCAAAGATTTCTTTAGGATTGATAATAAATTAAATTCCGATCCTCTTCTTTCTCCAATTTCTTTCAAAAAGAAAAAAAATAGTAATTTCGAAGATCTCGAACGACATCGAGAATTTCTTTTCTCTCGAGAATGATATCGAGAATTGATATGGCAAGAATTTGGATACGTGCGTGCAACGTAAGGACTTGGAGGATCTTCGTTAAAATGTAAATAAGCGTGCGACAACATCGCACACAATCATCGGAATCGTCAGAGCGAATAAACGTGCCGTTTAGCGCTTCACGTACCCTTCGCTCCTATTCTGTCTCAAAATTGTGTGGGGAAATTAATCGCAATAGGTCCGTAACCGACCGTGACATCGGCTGTGAGCAGGTGAAGGAAATTAGTTACGTAGGGATCATATAAATTGTGCCAGAGTGCATTTTTACATGTAATATCCCTGATTTTGCTTTTTCTTTGATTCGTTTTTTTGTTTTCGCAAAAAAACTACTTTCTAATATCGTATACGATATTTATTTTTTTAAATTACACAAAAAAATAGATTTTGTTTTAAGCAAAAATAATGTAGGTTCCATATCTGATACTAAATATAAAGCGCATTTCTTTTCTATTTTTCAAGAGAGCATTTTCCTTATTATAAGAGCAACGACGATCGTTGGAAGAATTCTGTTCGGCACAATCTGTCAATAAATCCGCACTTTCGAAAAGGATCGAAAGCACCTCACGGTGCCGGCCATCTCTGGGCGATCGCGAACCGCAGCGATTGCAGACCTCGTCCGCTCGACGTTAACGTTCTGACGGCCACCGCGCGACAAGTCGCGCAAAACGTTCCCGACGAATCGCGGAGCAATGAGAATGTCGTCTGGTAAAGTTTCAAAGTTTCTTCAAGACTCGCGTAAAAAAAAAAAAAAAAACGTCTCAATATTATTTAAACGAGCTTTGTTGCAGCGAAAGTATGGCTGAGGTGGAGATTGCGACGGCGAGCATCGCGCAGCCAAATTACGAGGACAACGACATTCCTAACGATAACATTTCTAACGATATCACTTCTGTGACACTCGAGGATTCCGCTGAGCAAATACTCAATGGAGTGAAACGCGAGGTGGAGGTGCAATATCTGGTTCCCATGGCGGTGACTGACGCCGATCACGAGATGAATCAACAGAACCATGAGATCGCACAAGAAACGGAACTTCAATGTTTCTTCAAGGAAACCGGTAAAAATATCAAAAAAAATAATAATAATAAGAAGAAATAAAACAAATATGAGGGCGAATAATTCGATATAATTCCTAGATTTCCTGCATACGGTGTCCAAAGAAGACGTTGCCGTGGAATGCGGGCTGAGCGAGGAATACGTGGTTACGGATCTGAATCCGAACGCTTTGGGATTAAATCTGGTCGATCCCGATATCATCGAGCCGGAAAATCTCTTTGGCGAGGAGTTGAGTTTTCAGTTTTACGAATTGACATCGTCGCAGTTGCAATCCGCTTGACACACGGAAGGCAACAAGATACATTTTGTCGTGATCGATGAGATTCAAATACAGAACGCGCGGCCGCGCACCAACGACGATGACGATCCGCGTTCAATCTGCGATGATGTTGCCGAGAAAAAAGTTTCGGAGCGAAAAAATCCACAAATAAAATTACCTGTCAATGGCGGTCAAGATAATGAGGCGACAATGAGAAGCTGATCTCGTTCGAATCGTTTTATCGAGAAACTTTTGTGACGACGATAAGAACATTTGATTATTTTATAGCGACACGATCGCTAACAGACAGAATAGTCAAATCGATTAATGACAGAAGTCAGTCGATTAATTGATAAAAAAAAAGCTTTTCGGGTAAGTAATGAATCAAGCGTGATGTGTAAGAAAAGAAACTTGCGCATGTCTTTTATGAATTTGATACGCGGCAATATTGATAACTGATTGTGCTAATTACTACAAAAAAAAAAAAAAAAAAAAACTTTAGCATGGTTAAAACGAAGCTTCCGAGATCAACAATGTAATCGCATATTTGTCCAACATGTGCCTGGTTATGTGTCTTAAACGAATGTCATTTATCAAATATTAATTTAGAATTTCTTCTAGTCTTTTGTGAAACAAGAGTGAATGTATAGGTATGTGTATGTAACGTTTTTTGTATTAGTAAAGAGAAAGTACAATATATATTTACTATTACGCGTGCAATTCGTCCCTGACACTTTCATATCGCGTGTACGAATAAAACACGAACATGTTCGTTGGGAAGTTTTGGCATTGATACACGGCTTCCATACAACAATACGAAACAGTGTGGAGCTTGATTTGAATATTTTTTTTAATCACAGTCAATTTTATTTCGTAAAAATCAACTATGGAATTATTAAATTTGGTTACAGAGTTTAAACAATTTTGTTTATTTTTTGTAACTTAAAAATGTTATACTTTTACAGATTATGTTGAATCTTTTGTCGAATCTGTTGCTTGTTGTTGTTTGTTGTTCTCAAATTTCACTGGGGTTGAATCGATTACTTTGTTTGCGAACTTTTCCATTCTCGCCTTTTTCTTGGCTTCCTTCTTTTTCTTTTTCTCTTCTTTCTCCTTCTTTGCCAGCATCTCTTTGAATCTCTCATCGTTAGGCGAAATTTTGAAACCAAAGTGCTTTCTGACTTCTTCTATTAGACGTTCCTTATCCTGCTTTGCAGCCTCCAGCTGAGCTTCTTTTTTTGCAATTTTTTCTTCAAACTTGGCTGTCCACTGTTTCATTTTTCCCAACCTTTCCTCTATTTCCTCCTCCCTACAAACGCCATGATCGTACATAAATATCATTGTTATTGTACTATAAATCATCAATGATAACACTAAACAAGTAACAGAAGAAACCAATCAACATGTACCTTTTTCTGATCTCTTCAGCCTTTATCTGTTTTTCCTCTTCCAGTTTCTTCCATCTTTCCTGAAGAGACAGCGGAAAAGCAACTCTCTCGTATTCTTTAGCATCTTCGATCTCTTCAGGCTTGGGCCAGGCAAATCCAATCGGTTCGTCATTACCTTTCAATCCGTATCTACCCAGCATACGTCTCTTATACCTCACCGTGTTATGATACCACTCCAAAGGCGAGTCGTAAGGACGCTCATCCATCAGCATGTTTCGGTGTTGCGAATTTAATCGGGATTTGTTTCGCTTCCTGTTAATCTCCGCTTGTATCTCTGGATCGTCGTCTATCGACGAGTACACGGGCTGTTCTTCGGCAGCAGTTATGTCAACAATCTCATCTTTTTTTTCTGTCGACTCCGTGGTGCTTAATCTCTTAACGAGGATACCTTGAAGTCGCGCATTCCGACGAACAATGACATCGTAGATCACTCTTAAACTCATCGCGCAACTTTTCTATTTCGAATGACGCCTGATATCGGTTCAGAGAGTCAATTTAAATTTTAAAGGCACTTGAACCTTACCACACATCAGTCGACCAGTCTTTAAGGTTAGAAGAGAACACTGAGAGCCAGCCATTGGTTTACCATTAGCAGTTATTTGACATGAGTACGTAGTTGCCAATGTGTTCCACCGTGGACATAGCGCTGGCAAACACTTCTTTCGGAGTGTGTACGATAATCCTGTGGCAGCACTAGACCGGAGGATAACGTCAGTGACTGAAGCGTACTGCTTCACATACACACATATACACATACATATACACACACAGCACTCGAAGAATGACATTTAAAACTTATAACTGAGGACAGGACGGAAACAAACAGACTACACGGGAAGGTAATACATAGTGACAGCGTGTGTTATATGGTTTAAGCAAGTAGACAACAACGTCGAGAGAAAGCAGTTTCGACGAAAACATCAGCGATGGATCTCAACAACGATCTGGACCAACACTTGCTACACCAGTTCAGTTGTCTGGGCACCACAGACAAAGATGATCTGGTGAAGCAGCTGCAGAAGCTGCTCGCTGGTAGCCATCTGAATGAAGCCACCGCCGAATTCTTCCTGGACATGAACAATTGGTAGGTTTGTTTCAGTTTCTCCGAGTCGTCTCGTTGTCGTACAATTTTTCCATACATATATAACCTATTATCGTCGTGTTCACCCCCTTCACCCCGCGAAGAGATAACGTTTTTTCTTTTTGTACTTTTAATTTTTTCCTCAATCTGATAATAGTCGCATGGAATAAATATCATCTCGGCGATCTGAAGAAACTGTGATTTGCGATAAAATAAATTTTTTATTTATTATAAGTACACTGGTTTTTAAACAACACATAACCTGGGAACTTGGGACCTGCACAGACCTGTACAAACAAGCGATGTCTTGTTCCCTAATGGAATTTAAAAACTGACATGATTACTGCACTGTCAAACTTTAAGTAATTTGATTTAAGACAATAGTTTTATTTTTTATTCTTTAATAAAAATTCTTTTAAAAAATATCTTTGTTTTTAATATTTGTGTGCAGAATTTGTTTCTCAGTCAGTATTTAATAAAAAATTGCTTGTATAAAATGTATATGGTTATATACATTTTAATTACATTTGACAATATTGTCCTTGAGTTTGTATTTCTTGTTATTTGCACAGAAAAAAAAAACAAAACTAGTATCTTATATAACTCCCTGTCACTCAGAACCATAAAAATAAGAAATCTTTAGTCTTTAAAAATTTTAAATTGTATTGCAATAGAATTTCTCTTTTTCCACAGGAATTTACAAGCAGCAATTTGCAGCTATATAGATTTTGAGTCACCTAAAAGTTTTTGTATGACATTAGTATGTGATAGTACAATTGGTGGGGGAGAAGCTGTGACACCTAACACAAACTTTTTGAAGTCATGGCGTGTGCAGAACAGTGGCACAGAAGCTTGGCCAAAAGGAGTTTTTTTGCAATTGGTTAGTGGTACATTTATGGGTCGATCACAAATACCAGTGCCACCACTGGCTCCCAAAGAAACTACAGAATTAAGTGTAACATTGATAAGTCCATCTGAGAATGGTGTTTATCAAAGTAAATGGAGAATGGCAGTTGAATCTACCCAGCAAGGTGAAGACAATTCTCCAGTCTACTTTGGTGGTAAGTCAGCTATTAACATTGAAAATCGACAGCATTTGTCAGAATAAGCAAAAAACCTTTTTTTTTTTCTTACAGATGTTATCTGGGTGATCATAACTGTGAGTGAAAGCGGCACATTGGCAGTTACTCAACAATTACATCGGTTAAGTACACAGTCTAATGATGTACAGATGTGCTAGCCTTTGACGTACAAAAATTTTCAGTAATAAAAGGTTACAGAAATTTTGCATTATTTGTTTATGTTGTCTCTTGGATCAGATATTATTTCTAAATTGGATCAGATATTATTTCTAAATTGTGCAAAAAAAATGTTTTTCTTTTTACAATGGAGTTTGCATCGCTCCTGCACCTCATAGCAAGATTGCAATGGGATAAACCTGGCCACTTGTGTATTGATCAGAAAAAAAAAAAAAAAAAAAAACGATGTAAGCTTTGATTTTTAAAATGTATTTTGGAAAATATATCTTCAATAAAATTTTATTCGAATCTTTTTTTCTATAGAAAAAAAATTACACAATGCAGAAATCATTTTTACTTTTGATGTTTGTTTCTCTATTTTTTGGCCGAAAACTTTACATAAAAATATTGAATTTGCATACGTACATACGCATTTTCTACGGATCATATTTATTGTTAGTCATGTATCATACTTAGGAAGTGATTGTACAAGGCCTTTTCGTAATCGTCCAAATTTATCGATAACATTGCGCGTAATACTTTTACTGAAATAACATTTATATGTATGATGTAAAAGAGCAAAAGGATAAAAGTGCGATAAGTTTATCGACCTACGTTTGACGAGTACGTTTTCTTTCATTCTAAAGTGTAAAATACCTGTAAGTTTTCCGACAGAACTTTCAAATAATCGTATGCGTGTGTGTGAGCATATATTTCATACATATATACATATATACACAGTTTTATATATATATGAAATATATGAAATATATATGTGAGAGATACTTAGATTTATATATATATATATATATTAAGAAAAATTTTATTATATATAGGTATTAAGGAAATTTTTATTAGAATGTAATGTCTAAAGTATACACAAAATATAGTTACAAAATAGTAGAATTTATTAAATATATGTATTCGAATCACATTTTTAACGACTCAAAAAAACAAAAAAAAAAAAAAGATCAAGAATACAAAGAATACGCTAAATTTTCATATTAGTTTTAAGTTGAAAGAGGATATATTAATAATTGAAGCGATATATAGACACTATGACATTTAATGATCTAAATACCCGAAATTACAGGAATAATTACTTTATGAAAATTCTATTACAGCTCGTATATTGAATTCTATTACAGCTTACATTTAATTAAGTACGTCAAAATAGGGGAAATCCTCCATCATATTATCTCATAATTCGCATTCATATATTACAGAAGTAACCATGTGAATTGTATTATTTTAGTTATGCTCGCACAGATTTTTTTTTTTTTCGAAGGGAACGACAATAGTCGTGATAACATAAAAAAAGTACAAGGTGCAGCTTATAATTAAAATTGTAAAGAGTAGAACTCAAACCGCCATTTTCATGTAGATTTTGGGGTACGGTTTATAATCAGTCAATTCGAAATCTTCGACAACAAAATCGTCAATATCTTTAACATCTCTCAGTATCTTTAATTTAGGAAATTCTCGCGGTTCACGTTCTATCTGTTCCTTGAGAGCATTTATATGTTTAACATAGACGTGACAGTCTCCCATTGTATGTACAAATTCTCCTGGCTGAAAATAAAAAGAAGTAAAAAACAAAGATTGGGATTTAATCTCTCAAACTGTAGTGTCTCGAACTCTCACCTTCAAACCGGTGACATGAGCGATCATGTAAATCAGCAAGGAATATGACGCTATGTTAAACGGTACTCCTAGACCCATATCGGCGCTTCTTTGATAAAGTAACGCGGACAGTTCCCCATTGCTCACGTAAAACTGAACGAAACAATGACAGGGTGGCAATGCCATCTTCGGAATGTCTATTGGGTTCCAAGCGGTCATTATTATACGCCTGTCGTTTGGAGAATGTTTAATTTTGTGAATAACTTCTTTCAGTTGATCTATTCCTGAAAACAATATGTATGTCTTGTGAGTTCTACAACAAGACAAATTTATTCTATATTATTTAAAGAACGCAATTTTATGAAATAAAGTACCTTGTCCCGTGTAATCTGTGTGCATGTCCTTGTACTCGGCACCAAAATGTCTCCACTGAAAACCATAAATAGGTCCGAGATCGCCCTCTTTCCTATCGGTAAAGCCATAAGAATCCAAGAAGTCCCGTGAACCATTCTCATCCCAAATATGAACATTTTTGGCTGCCAGTTCTTTAGAATTTGTTGAGCCTTTGATAAACCAAAGTAACTCTTCAACTACTGCTCGCCAAAATATTCTTTTAGTTGTCAATAATGGAAAAACATCTGAACAGAAACAGTTTTCTTATTAGCAAAAATCTCTTGTACAAAAGAAGAAGGAAAACATCACAACTTGTTAGAAACTTTATGTCAGAATAATTTTACAGAAGAGTAAAAGAGTAGCAGAGAAAACTGCACATAGATCAAGCAATTGTCTATAGAAATCATTGTTACACATGCACAAAAAGATGTTATTTAATCAAAAATTAAACTTCTTAGTGCAGACACACACAGAAATCTTAGAGATACTATATACAGAGAATATAAAATTTATAAAAAAAGATAAATAAAAAAGAAAGAAACATATAAAAAAATACAAAACAATATTTTTACCGTTTCGCAGTTCGAATCGCATTTGTTCGCCAAAAGTTGAAAGCGTATCAATTCCGGTACGATTGCTCTTCTGCGTTCCGCTTTTGATGATTTTCTCGATGAGTCGTAAATATTGATATTCTCCATGTTCTTTGATTGTTTGATCTTTTTTGTCCGTTTCATGATTGTTTTGAATCGTGTTTTCTGACGATTCTATACCGTTATTCGCCATAATTTTCTTTTTTTTATGGATAAATTATATCAGAAAATTGTTCAGAAAAGATTAACTTAACTTTTGTTTGTTTATACACCGGTTGTTTACGCTGGTTTTGACATTCGTATTTCTACGCGTTGACACACACGACAATAAACGCGGGAAAACTGTGCGGAGCATGGCGGAGCCACGTGACCGTTTTTAACTGTGATTTTTTTAAAGTTTAAAAACCAAGAGACAAACTTTAAAAAAAATATATAAATATTGCATGAAATTCACTGTTTTCTTACATCTCGTTTACTGCCGGAAAGATGCCTGAGAGCGATCAATCTGAATCGGATTATATTTCCAGTTTTTAGTTCGAATCTTTGCTAAATCCGAGTATTTTTAGCGAAAACTTGAACCACGAGAATTTTAAACCTCTTCCGCGAAGCTCCTGTCACTTTCTGCGATCCTGGTATGAAAGTTGAATTTATCCACTGGAATTTATCGATGAACATTACCGGCGGGGGGTTTAGTGCCACTTACTTCGACTTATCGTTTCCTGATACCGCTACGTTATCGGCCGAGAATATACCGGCGGGAATTTAGTGCCACTTACTTCAACTTATACTTTCCTAATACCTCTAACTTACCGGCCGAGTCGGCTAGCTCCTGGTAAAGCTCCTGCCACTTTCTGTGATCCTGGTAATGCATTTGAAATTTAGCCCGTAGCGGCCGACTTTCTCGGCCGCTACGCGCTTCACCCGTCGGTGAAAAATGCTTGCATCTTTCACATTAATTGTAAAAAATGAATGAAATTTTGCATGCAAATATCTTAGAGGTTTTATTGCAAAATTAGAATAACAAAATTTCAAAAGTAATAAAAATGCAAATGTTATTAAATAGTTGCGACAAACATTGAGCATCTCGAAAATGATACACCTTGTCTTCTTGACATCGTGATTCAAATCAATTTAGCCGCGCGCTAATTAATTAGTTTCTAGTAATTTTCCAGATCACGTGACATTGTTAATCTTCATTTTGCAAGCACCGCTTGCACTTTATTTTTGTTTTTCTTTTCTTGCCAAAGCGCGAACACGTATGCGCGTCTTCTTTCGAGTGCAAACAGTGCAATAGAAACGGGATGGACCTTTTTGCCTCCTGCTAACCTCCTGCCGAAAAACACCCGCTCCGTTCTGTTGGCGGCGCAACACCAAGGTTACGGCAGGTACGTTTTCTGGTACTTGCGCGTTTGCAAGCTCGTGACCGAGCGTGACACGATCCGTAAAGCATTAACCCAAAGGTGATCCGCATGACCGTTGCTTGGAGTTGGTGTTTCTTTTTTGCATTTTTGCTCAGGTGACTCATAACTTTTCCGCGAAAGATCCGACGATTGTCACACCGCCGTTGACACGCGCCAGTGTGTGTCCTGTGATCGTTTCGGTACGTAGAGCCGCCGAATATTCCTGGCGAATAATTCCCAGTAGAAGGAATGACCGCCACGAGCGGCATAGCCGGCAGCAGTCCGCTGCCCAAATGGCAAATCGCCCTGGTGGTCGGGGCACCGGTCGCCCTAGGTCTCGGATACATGTACTACAGGAACAAGCACGGCAACGTGACAGGATCCGACAAGTCGAATCGCAACAAATTTGTCAGAAGCAACGCGACGACCAAAGAAAACGACACGCCCGCTGATAAACAGATCTCGATAGATGGTGATTGTCCGTCTAAAGTGCCTTGTCCTGAGCCAGAGGTTAAGATTGCAATATCTTGCGCGACATACATATATATTAGAGTTAGTGCAAAATTCATTTGTCATGTAAACACGTCGTTTTTTTCTTTAGTCTCCTTTACAAAAGGCTCAAAACTACAAGAATAAAGGAAACGAACACTTCAAAGTAGGGAGATATGAAAAAGCTATAGAACAATATAATAAAGCAATTGAGGTTTGCCCGATGGAGGATGCACAGGATCTAGCAACTTTTTATCAAAATAGAGCAGCTGCATATGATCAATTGGTAATGTAATTGTGCAATAATGACTTTAGTTTAGATGTTGGTTTTTTTAAATATTTATTTCACAGCAGTATATCACTCCACTTTGTGTTAAGCCTGATAATTATAATTGCAGAAAGAATACACCGCTGTTAAGGAAGATTGTTCAAAAGCACTAGAATTAAATCCTAAATATGTTAAGGCTTTGTTGCGCAGAGCACGTACTTTGGAAGAATTGAAAGACTTAGAAGCTGCCTTAGAAGATATCACTGCTGCGTGTCTTTTTGAAGGATTTAACAATCCGTCAAATCTAGCGATGGCGGATAGAATTTTGGATAAACTCGGTGAGTTGTACTGCGAGAGAACTCGAACAGTATAAACAAAAAATATCATTTTTAACAATTAAACAATATTAACTTTTGATGTGAATTTTCAGGTAAACAACATGCTGAGGAACATATGGCAAAAAAGAAATTTGTAACACCAAGTAAATACATCATTAAGGCTTACATTATATCTTTCCCTAGCGATCCGGTATTTACTAGACTTCAACATTCAGAAAATACCCCTGAGTAAGTATTGACTGTATGAAGTTGCATGTTACGTTGGTCTTTGTACTAACACTCGTCACATTTTGATTGCCAGATTTTTAAAAAAATTACTGGACGCGTTGAGAGACGAAGACTATGACAATATAATACCCATTTGTACAGAAATTATCGAAAGTCCCGATTTTAACACGTTACCTACGTCTAAACTGGAAGTGTTACTTTTGAGAGGCACATTTTACGTTCTCGTGGGTAAGCGCGACGCTGCCCTGGAAGATTTCACGAGGATATTGAATAGCGAGGATGCGTCTGACAATGTGAAAGTGAACGCATTGATAAAGAAGGCGACCTTGCACATGCAATTCGACACTCCCGAAATGAGTTTTAATGATTTTAGCCAAGCTATTAATATTGATCCGAATTGCGCTGAAATCTATCATCACAGAGGACAGGTACGTTCGCAAAGAGGCGAACACAATTTTGTTTTTGCGTCGAACGAAGTAATCAAGTAACAACAAATAATATATAAATATTTTTTTTTAATACAGATGAGTATGCTCATGAACAAAATAGACGACGCTAAGAGCGACTTTAAGAATGCGCTTCGTCTAAATCCCGACTACGGTGTGGCCTTTGTGCAGAAGTGTTACACGGATTATCGTTACGCGATCGCCAACAGGGATGGAGAATTGCTCGATGCAGCTATGAAACAATTTCGATCGGGTTTCGAAAAGTTTCCGGATATCGCTGAATGTTACATGCTGTATGCTGAGGTACGTACAGAGCAGTTAGGAACATGCGTGTTGCCGATTCTACAAGAATCGTAAACTTATTTTTTTAACATAACTTCAGATGATGACCGAAACTCAGCAGTACGATCAGGCAGATATATATTTTGCTAAAGCATTAGAGAAGGATCCAAAAAATGCGACTTTCTACGTGCACAGAGGCTTGTTGCAGTTGCAACTGAACGGCAATATCAACAAAGCCGTGGAATACATACAGAAAGCGATAGAAGTGGATAAGAAATGCGAGCTCGCGTACGAGTCACTGGGAAGTATTGAAGTGCAAAGGTACGCGTCTTTCAATTATGTTCAAAAGTTTGTAATTGAATTTAAAACTAACTGGTTTTGGTCACGCGCAACTTTTATATACGATAAAATCTATTTTCGTGAATATTTTCTCACAGAGGAAACATAGAAGAAGCAATAAGGTTGTTCGAGAAGGCTTTGGACTTGTGTCGCACGCCAGTCGAGCTCACGCATGTGTATAGCTTGAGAGACGCCGCAAAAATGCAGCTGAAAATAAGAAGCAGAATTGGTGCGGATGGCATTCCGTCGGCAGATTTTCAAAATTCATGTTCTAAACTATCGAAAAATTAATAAAACGAGAAACAAGTACGCACTGTTACCAAATCTGAGAAAATCAAATTGTTCTGTTGCATTCAACCTTGACGTAGAAATATCGAGGAATATCGTTGAGACCGGTAGTACAAGTAGTTTGTTCTACGTTACTTCAAGAAAGACTGTACGGAGTTCATATATATATATATATACACATATATATATATAACTTTTTCTTTATTTCCGCCTATGTTTTTTGTTGATCTCCGTGTTAAGCAAAACCGAAATGGTGATATATAAAATATGTTAGTTACCGAATAACGTATATCGAAGTTTTGAAGGGCACTTGTTAATCGAATAACTCTTTTTCGTCAGTCTGTTTTGAGTTTTATTTTTTTTTTTTTTTTTTTTTTTTTTAAATATACATTTATGAGATTTTTATGTGTGTACTTACACCACCTGCGCTGATATTGAACTTCGTGACACATATTCTGACTTTTCTCAAATAGTATCAAGTATAAAATTAATTTATATGTTCCTAGAAAAAATAAACGAATATATNATATATGAGATTTTTATGTGTGTGCTTACACCACCCGCGCGGATATTGAACTTCGTGACACATATTCTGACTTTTCTCAAATAGTATCAAGTATAAAATTAATTTATATGTTCCTAGAAAAAATAAACGAATATATTGTGCAAACGATGCAATGGCTTACGAATGGAAAATACACATGAGAGAGAAATTATCTTTTCTATTATTTTATATATATATATATATAAAATAGAGTTCACATATACATCAACAATTTTTAATCTTGTTATATACAAAAAAAACTGTTTACGCAATATAAAACTTGTATATGAAAAGCGGTTTTATCTTTATTTGTTTGATCCTTGATGTGGAAGATAACAATAACGTTACAATAAAGAAATATAAACGCGAAACAACCTCTCACACACGCGCATACGCACATACATACACACACTGCTGTTTTTAAGCGTGTGTACACACCAGTTAATATTTTATACACAAGAGAGAGAAAAAACGCGGAAGTTTTACAAATCTTGCGTTTTTTTTTTTCAATCTAAATATCATAAAATATGGAAGCCAGAGGATATCTAATTGCAAATGCCATTATACTGCTAACAATCTGAAAAAAAAAAAAATAAATATTCAATTTATTTCATACATTTTTATATTAGAGAAAAAAAAATGTGTCTATGTACCTGAATTATCAGTAAAATCGTTGTGAGTGTCGGCTCTCTCAACGGGCCGGCGTTGATCAGTACGAAATTGATTAAGGTCAAATTATTGCAAGTGACAATGCCTTCCGCATCTTCTTCTAACTTTATCAATTTCAACACATTGAACATCCGCAACAACAATCGTCCTAACAAAAAAACAAAATTCTGCAACCTTGTACGTGTGAATACCATCCACTTGTTTTCTCCTACTGTAGACTAGTCTAAAGTGTCCTACCGATTACACTGAGTTCCGACTTGTGAAACACAGTTACACTAGGCTCCAATTGATCAGTGATCTTATTGTACTTTGGTAATCTGTGCCTGGGGCACGGCACGAAGTGAAAGAGCTGCGGTGTGCTGTATAAAAAATTGATTATTTGCGGTATAAAGAATAGCAGCATCGTTTTGCTGAAGTGGCCTATGATGCCGACCACGGCAAACGTCATTCCCGACAGGTAGCAAAATGTGTCGCCTACAAACACCTGCGACGGGTACCTTGAAACAAAATTTAAATAATTTACAAACAATTCCATTGATCTTAAAATATCCGCAAATAGCAAACGGAGCATCAGATTGTACAGCAAAATTGTTATTGAAATATTTTTGAGTTTTCTAAATCTGTAATATTTCTACATTTATTGTTATTGCATATATTTTGTTATTATCAGCGCGTGTGTCATAGTGTGCACGTAGCTTTTCTGTACAAATACGAGGAGTCTTTTTTTTATACACGGCTGAAATATAAACAAAGGGTCAATGCGCCGCTCCTATGAGACTGCGCGCCATTGTTCCTAGAGACTACAAGCGAGGACTTCCGACCACCATGATGACTACAAGCACGTGAGTATGTGTCACATGAGACATTTGATTAATATTCATCGCGTGAAACGTCAAAAAGCCATTCTCGTCGCGTTTACAACAACCGGTAGTCCGGGAATACGCAGTCAATTCTCGTGATCGATATCATGTCGATCCCGACCCAGTCGGGCAGACCCAGTTCGTTTTTTCGCGAAACGAACGATTACTCTCATGCCTCACACAAAGAGAATAACATATAGTTAATGAGATGCTGCCTCTTCCAAGACGCGTGCGCCTTGCGAATAGTCACGATCATGCCTGCTCGGGCGAGAGTGTGTGTTCGTTGAAACGACCGAACCACCGGCTGGCCCGATGCGGCACTCGGGCGTGGTTTTTCACGTCGTCGTGTTGCGGCTGCAGCTGCTCAGCCCAGAAAAAAAAAGACTTCCATCTCTCCCGAGACTCGAAGGAGTTCAACGGCCCGTGACTATTCAAGTACTACTGCGAAACGCGCGGCGCGTCGCGCTTTACAGTCACCCTCCGCAATCGCATGTGGTCGTCTCCATTTCAAATTGCTTCGCGTTTAGAGAGGGAAAGATCGGCGAGACGCAAGATCAGAAACAAATTAAATTAAACAGCTTGGCGGTGTGACATCATCGCACGACGATGATGAGACATCACCGCCGACCTCGCGCATTGTGAGCAACGCTTTATCAATGTGATCAACTCGTCGTAGGATTGGTGTCGATGACATGCGTGCGGGGCGTAGCTGCCGGGACATTTAACTCGCACGAAACGGAATTGAATCTCTCGACGGCGAGAATCGTGAGACTGACAGATCACGCGACTTGCCCGCAATGCGGTAAATTAATAATAATTAATTAAAACGCTGTTTGTTAATTTTCAGAAGAAAAAGTTTCACGAGAGATATAGTGGAAAATATCAGCTCGATGAGGAAATGAGATCAACGAATTTTTTCAAGCAACACAGAAATGCATGAAGGCCTACATATGCGAATTGAGAAAAAAGTCGACTTCCGATAAAAATGTAAGTTTGTTCCTGATGTTGTTGTTGCACGCAAACGGTGCGTACCGCACCATAACTGATTGAAATAAATGTTGTCGATTTTTTCGTTTCACAGATGACGTCCCTGAGACAATCTTAACGAAAAAAAATGATGTCTCCGATAGCTAGTGAAAGTTTTTTTCAGAGACTGATGAGAAATTAGACTATTCGGGTGTAGGGATTGATGTGCCATGCAGGTCCGTCTAGATGGGAAGCTGGCGTTGCTTTATACCTTATTGGTCTTGCAAGTTCTGATTGTTATGGTATATGTTGCCACAACACCGCCGACCGAGCTAACCGCATCGTCGACACGTGCGACCGTCAGTTTTGTCAAGTTTGAGCCGTCACAGGTAGGATCCTCCAAGAAAAGTTCACTTCTGAATTTTAATCGATCCGAAATTATTTCAAGCGAATAAAACAAAATTATGATTTTATTTTTCACAAAAGGAACTGCAAACGAGTCATCATGGAAGAATTCACAAGAAGTCGCCGATTTATCAGACAATCAGCGGAGAGGTAGCGTTAAAAGATGTGAAGACTTATCGACTGTTCGAAACGTACAACCGCACCGCGTGCTGGAAGTTCGGAGTGGACGAGCACAAGATGAGAAGCAACGAGCATCTGGAGAGATGTATCTGCAATCAAGGATGGCACGGCCTCGACTGCGGACAGCCGGAGGTCGTGTGGCGAGCGATCATGGCGTCAAAACAGAACATCAGTCTGAAACGGCGTAAAAGCGCCAGACGCGTCATTCACACCTTCTTCCTGAACGAGTATAACTCGGCGATCGTCGAGGTGATAGTTGAGGAGCTTTACGACGTCGTGGATCTTTTCGTAATCTGCGACTTCAGCAACGCGGAGGACAATTTTCGACACAAACTGTCGAAAGGATTGCTGCAGAAGGAGCAGAAAAAGATCTTGTACGTCAACGTGGCAACGAAATCGCGAAAACCGCTGAGAGCGGTGTCCAAGTACATCTGGGACAGAATCAGAAATATAGTGCAAAATCTGCGAGACGACGATATCTACGTGACAACCGGTCCGGAGCAGATACTGAATCTCCGAGCGCTAATGTTCCTCAAGATGTACGACGGTTGGCCTCAGCCTATCGGTTTTAGATTAAGATGGTCGGTCTACGGTTTTTTCTGGCAACACCCGTTGAAGACGATGATCACGCTCGGCGCGTACACCGTCGGATATATTCGCAACGCCTATCAATCCAATTCGCTGATGCTGCGGCAACAGCTGGACGGGGACGCCAGTGAGAGAGATATCTTAGGACTGGTCATAGGAGATTTAAATCATTACGGCGGGTGGTACTGCTATCTGTGCCAAGCGCCCGCGAATATCATCGTGAGTCTTCGCAACAAGGTCCAGTCTAAGGAGATTTACATCGAGAAGTCCATCGACGTGCCGTTCGTCGAGGATCTGATTGGGAGCGGCGTGTGGCTGGACGGTAAGACTGCTCTTCTTCGAGTCTCGAAATCGAGGGATTTTTACTTCGCCCCCGAAACGATTCTCAACAACACGTGGAAGTACGACTGGCTGGTGGAGAACTTCTACGCTAAACTAGATTACTACTAACGTACTTGCGCACCTGACTGTGATACTAACTTATACTCAATACTCAACACTAGCGTATTATTATACTGGATTTATATAACACTCTAAGATATTTACGTTGACGAAATATAAACGTTAAATGGTTTATAGACTCATCACGTGCTTTTTCTTGGGAATTTAATAGCCCTCCTTCTTGTTTACAAAAATATTCTTTTATATTTGGCTTTGTAAAAAAAAAAAAAAAACCTACGCAATACTCACCAGTTGTACTTAAACAACGCGAGAGAGGTAGCGATGTACGGCAGCATGAAGTATATCGAAAATTGATGCGCTTTCCACTGACTGCCGGTAAGTTCTATGACGTTGAAAACGAGAATGCTCGAGGCGATGATCAAACTCTGTCCGACTTCCAGACCGTTTATACCGGCTAGTATATTAATAGCGTTTGTACAGAACACAGCCACCATTCCCATATAGATGTAGTAAAATATCCACAGATCCAGGGTGAAGCCGAACCACGGTCTCAACGGTTTTGGTATGATTATTATTGTGGAATTGAAGTTAACGTAGTAAACCATCAGTAGCGGCAACGACGCTATGGTGGGTAGGAACAATTTGTGTCGCCAGCGAAGATCCAAAACGTCGTCCGCAAACCCCAAGAGCAGCATGCAACATATTGATAGCAACGCGGCCAAAAATTCTACAAACTGCAAGAAAGAGTCTGTACACGTTATGATTTTTTATTTACGCACGTGCGTGTGTGTTGTTCGCAGTTAGATCTAATTTTGCGTAAAACTATTTCTTTGTTTTTAGATCGGGGAGTTACACCACCCCAGTTACACTATCCCAAGAGATATATTGCTTGAATTTTATAGTTTATTTTTAGTCAATCCAAAAAATTTGTAAAGGAAGAACAATTTTAAACGCAGGACAATTGTTTTTCGTAAAAATGTTTAAAGAGACACTGTGCCTACCTTGTTGTGCGGAAAGTTTTCGTTTTTAAATATGTAATCTGTGAACGGCACGGGTATAAACAGAAACATTGTTATGAGGAACACGCATCCCGTAACAACGCCAATTGCCTCCGGGCTGGAAGAACAAGTCACAGATATATACCTATCGCGTCATCAGACGTGTATGTGTGCGCGAAAATTCGCGCAATAAAAAAAAAAAATAATAACCATTCAAATATAGTGTCAAAATTCAAAATACTCGTTTCACACTCACATCTTGTCGCTGCGTCTCTTGCTCATGTCGATGCCGTACAGGTTAGCTTTGACGAACATGGATTTTATTCGCGGAATCAAGTGAACGGTCAGACAGCACGCGCTCACGGACATCGCCACGTTAACGCATATTGGAAACAACAATTTCCACGTCTCGTTCTCCACATCCATCTTAAAACTTGGCGCGCGTATAACCGGCAGTGTGTGTTTTTAATTCGGCACTACACGGCACTCACGTGTCATTCAACACACAGACCCGCGGGAAATGTCAATAATACCGCTCGTTACATCACACACGGTGCGCGAAAACATTTGTTTACGACGTCAACACGTGATTAACATTCTTAGGCCGTATCAGTAATTTATCTTTGCGTCGGTTGATGACAACAAGTATCCGAAGTGGAGTATCGACCGACGCAACCGTCGATCTATCGAATCGACGGAAATTTATCACGTGACTCGAGAAATCTCGAGGATGCAAATTTCCGGTTATTTTTAAATATACTTTTGACCGCACGTAAAACAAAATTTGATTTAAAAAATGTAAAATTTTCACAAAGAAAACCTCAAAGTTCTCCAACTCACGATTTAAAAGTCTGACAAGTCTTGCAAGGATACTCTTAAAGAAATTTAAATGCTAAATACACTAGCGGGATGGGGGGGAGGGGGAGTTTCATTGAATACTCTCGAAATTTACACTGCAAACGTTTTTCAAATCATTTTATTTCAGAACATTCAAATAAATAAAAAAAAAAAGCCGTAACATAGAGACAGGCGAATAGTTGTGTGTGAATGTTTTCTTGTTTCCTTCTTTTTTTAATATTCCTCGGCACCTTCTTCGCCCTCGCCCTCTGCGGAATCCATTCCAACTTCCTCGTAATCCTTTTCGAGGGCGGCGAGATCCTCACGCGCCTCGGAGAACTCTCCTTCTTCCATACCCTCGCCGACGTACCAGTGAACGAACGCACGCTTGGCATACATGAGATCGAACTTGTGATCAAGTCGCGCCCAAGCCTCTGCGATGGCGGTGGTATTCGACAACATGCAAACAGCGCGCTGAACTTTAGCGAGATCGCCACCGGGTACGACGGTTGGCGGTTGATAGTTGATGCCGACCTTGAAACCGGTGGGACACCAATCAACAAATTGGATGGTACGTTTAGTCTTGATGGTGGCGATAGCCGCGTTTACATCCTTGGGCACAACGTCGCCGCGGTACAGCATGCAGCAGGCCATGTACTTGCCGTGACGTGGGTCGCACTTGACCATCTGATTGGCCGGCTCGAAGCAGGCGTTTGTGATCTCCGAAACGGATAGTTGTTCGTGATACGCCTTCTCGGCCGAAATGACGGGCGCGTATGTAACCAGAGGGAAGTGAATTCGCGGATAGGGCACCAAGTTGGTCTGGAATTCCGTCAGATCGACGTTTAGAGCGCCGTCGAATCGCAGGGACGCCGTGATGGACGATACGATCTGACCGATCAGACGATTCAGATTCGTGTAGGTCGGTCTCTCGATGTCAAGGTTACGGCGGCAGATGTCGTAGATCGCCTCGTTGTCGACCATAAATGCGCAATCGGAATGTTCGAGGGTGGTGTGCGTTGTCAAAATGGAGTTGTACGGCTCGACAACAGCGGTGGAGACCTGGGGAGCCGGATAGATCGCAAATTCAAGCTTCGACTTTTTGCCATAGTCGACAGACAGACGTTCCATCAGCAAAGACGTGAAACCAGATCCGGTGCCACCGCCGAATGAGTGGAAGATGAGGAAACCTTGCAGACCCGTGCATTGATCCGCAAGCTTGCGAATCCTATCCAACACAAGATCGACGATCTCCTTGCCGATGGTGTAATGCCCACGAGCATAGTTGTTAGCTGCATCCTCTTTGCCAGTGATCAATTGTTCCGGATGGAAGAGCTGACGATAAGTTCCGGTACGAACCTCATCTGTATGCAGACAAACATACGTTATAAATATATACAATAACTTTTTCTGAGCACATCGAATCAAAAAAATTTTAATGTCAAAAATAAATTAAAAAAACAAAAAAAAAATACATTACCAACTACAGTAGGCTCCAAATCAATGAAGACAGCTCTGGGTACATGTTTTCCAGCGCCAGTCTCACTGAAGAAGGTGTTGAAACTGTCATCTCCACCTCCAATTGTTTTGTCAGACGGCATTTGGCCGTCCGGCTGGATGCCATGTTCAAGACAGTACAACTCCCAGCAGGCATTACCGATCTGTACTCCGGCTTGTCCAACGTGGATTGAGATGCACTCACGCTAGTAAGAAAATAAATCATAAATTGCAGCGTTTCTCACTTTTATTGTAAATGAAGACAAGCGAAACGAGCTCAGAGCTGATACAATGAACTTTCTAAAAATAGCTCAACGGGGTCAACGACACGTTCTTTGTCTGTACGACGAATGAATATATTTCAATATTACAAGTGTTATAAATATTAATAGACTATGCGACGTCAGAAACGTCGAGATCAATTAGAAAGTTAACGAGCTTCCGGGCTCAAAGGAGAAGATAATACGTTACTACATTTCAAAAAAAAAACCGTAACCGGCCGGCGTGTAAACCGTTACAAGATGGCCGACGTTTTCGTCGAGGGATGGGCGATGTCGCAGGAAATCTCGCGATTCTACACGCGAGATAAAATATCACAATTCGACTTACCATTTTGTTTTATTGATAAATCTTCTTCCTCGTAAAAAAGAGAGCTAATTAGTCACCACGGGTGATCGATAGTTGGCGAAAGCAAGTAATGGAGCTTCTGCTAACAACTATGCGACGATTCACGTCCGAGCAACCAACAATTTGTGAGCCGAGCAACGCCTACTACGCGCTATTTATACTTGTGAAAATCGACCGTTTCGGAGAACGCCGATTGGTGCACGATGACATCACCTCGCACGTTCATTGGCTCGTGTCGGACCGCAGCACTCATCACTCCCGATTGCCGTTTCTCTACGCAAACAAAAATAGTCCCAAATTATTTGACGCATCGTGGATTTATTTCAATTTGCGATGCGTTTGTTTACGTTTATGTGATTAGATCCGGAATTATCGAAACGCGAGGAAACGACGGCTCGTCGCATGAACAAATTTTTCGCAAAACCTGAACGATCTTTTTTCCGCATTACGGATGTTGCCAGGCGGTGGCAAAGGTGCGTTTGCGTCAATTGCACCATATATGGGCCGCATCTTTCTCGAGGTCGCGTACAAGTCGTTTTCTCCAACGTCGTTTCTTTTTTGGTCAAGAGACGGAAATCCGGCGCGGAAATGCCCACTGTTCTTTTGTAAAAATTTACTACCGACGTGGGCCAAAATGACGCTTATTTTGAGTTAAAGAAGCACGCTGTTCAAGCGATCTTAATACTCGAAATAAGTACGTTATTTTTTGGCCATTATCAGTAATTAAATCTCAACAAGGGAAGTTCCTAATTAAAGAGACGATCTCAGATCAGCATTGTTTGTGATTTTTTGCAATTAGAACAGATTTCTTTGCTGCTTTCTCTGATTGAGTTTTTATTTGCAATTGTTTGAATAAGCAGAATTTATTGTAATTACAAAATTTATATTCTGCTCGTGTAAAATAATTTAGATTTGTTTCCGTCGATGAATGCGAGCACACAACTTACGTTGCAACGATAAGACTCGGCTTATCCGAATTTAATGAGAATGAATCAGAAGCTAATGTGTAGCGTGTTATCTGGTCATTTAATCCTCTCAAGTGTGATTGTCTCTTATATTATTCAATATTTTATGTATTTCTTATGTATTTATATATGTATTTAGCAACAGCAACCGTTTCCCATTTCATTTTATTTAATTTCAATTTGTTACGCTCTCTTTTAAAAAAAAAAAAAAGAGATGAAGCCCCAGTTTGCTAGCACCGATTAGTCATCAGTTAGTAATCGACCGATTACTAGCGTCAACCATGATTGGTCAGGTCGGCAAATGTCGTTGGAACACCGTGGAATCCAACCCCAAGATGATTCCGAACGATTCGACGCAATAACCTAGGAAAACCTAGGAAAACTTCCTAAAAAAAAACATAAGATCTAAAAGCACGTTGATAACAAACTTCTCTGTTTCCTGTTAACATAATGTTTTTTTTTTATAAGCACAATTCAAATAAGAATCTTGTGGTTAGAATTTTATACGCTGTTCTGACATTCACACGTTACTGAAAATCTATATTTCACATCACATGTTTTGTAGATTTGCAGTATCAATCGTGAACATCATAACGCAACTTTAATTTGCATATGATTACATCTTAAGGAGTTTTATTGATTTACTTGAGTTCTTATGTAGCTACCAGATACTGTTTTGTATTAAAAGGAATTTACACCAAATATATTTTTATCATATAATATGAGCACATCTATGAAAGAAAAAAACGGTAAGTATAAATAACATTTTTAAATCAGAATAGCATGATATTGTTTTTATTTCATTGAAATAAATTCAAGATAACAAAATATCAGTTATTTTATCTTTAATTATAGATACAAGCACTGAACAAGAAGTAGAGGACAGCCTAACAGACAGAGATCTTATTGATAACCATGAAAAGGAACATCTAAAAATTTTACCGTCCAAAAATTCTCGATTGAAGCCTCAAGTAAAAAGGCTGTCACATCGCCTTAAACAAAAACGCAGGATTAATTATAATGAGAGTGACGAAAGTGAAAATGATCCCTTTGAGAATCCAAAGGCGAGAGATCTTTTAGAAAAATTGGAAGATATTAAGGAACAAGAAAAAGTGCCATTAAGTGTCATAAGAGTTAGTATTGTTTATCATACATGTATACTTTGATCATATAGAGAGTAGCTACATTTGTTTTATGTACACAGAAACTAGAGGCATTACATGTAAAATTAATACACAAAGTACCACCACAACATAAAATAGAGCAAGGTACTGCAACTTATGTGCCAACAAAACAAAAGACAAAAAAATTTCAAAAATATGGACCACTTCGAAAAGGTAGATATTCATCTGAAGAGGATGAAATTATCAAAAAAAACTGGAATACATTTTGTGAGGTATAGTTTAACTATGATACAATTTTTTAATCATTTATTATTATTATTATTATATATTATTATATCTATTTGTCTTAGCTCCATAATTGGGACTCCACAAATGTTAAACCTTTTCTTAATTGGAAGCATGAAAAAGAATGTTATATAGAATGTTACATAAAAGACATAAAAGAAAGACAAAAATTTGTTCAGTTTTTAGCCAACGGATTACCTTGGCGAACTCTCTACAGTGTTTATCGCAGATTCAAAATATTGTATCGTAACAAACTTGTAAACGCTAGGTGAGTGGATACACAGAGATCTTAAGTATTTAATCCAAGATTATATATAAATAATAGAACTTTTTTTGTTCAGATATGGGAAAAATGAAGATGAAGTGATTTTATTGTACATAAAAAATAAACAGTTGGACGAGCGGGATAATAAATACACTGAACTGGCAAAGTTATTAAACCGAACAACACAGTCAATTTCTAAACGTTATCAATATCTGCAGAGGATTAGAAAATCAAAAGCTCGTAAGTTTACTTAAAAAATGTTTTTATATAAAAATGTTTTTTATATATAAAAAAAGGGGGAATGTATAAAAATAAATAAAATTACAGCATTGGTAAAAAGTGTAAAGTACAAAAGACCAAACATTGAAAAGAAAACGTATATAAAAACTTTACTTGATGTAACTTTAAGTGAAGATATAAGTGATCTTAAATTCGCTATTTTACCTAAGTTAGTGTGGAAGGAAATGGAAAAAAAACTGAACATAGATCACAATGTCTTGAAAACATTTTGGCAATATCAGCTGCATATACAGCTATTCAGTACTCGTCCTATCTATTTAAGCGATATTAAGATACAGTTGATTGAGTAGTAAGTACACATAAATTGTTACATATACATGTGTATAAGATTAAAAATTATACAAATGTTACAGTATTTATGTAAAAGGAATATCGAATGTTCGCGAAATTTCATGGTCCAAAGTTGCCTCACATTTCGATGGAGCAACTCCAGTATTTCTTTGCAAAGTATTCTATTATCTTGTTCAAGAATGTCGCAAAGATATTGGTGATAAGAATTTTATTGGTAAGAAAATATTTTTATAAACTTTTATTTTAAATATATGATCTCTTGTACAAATTCTCGTGTTTACAGATATTATGGAGTACTTGTACAATACTAAAATTGATGAGATCAAAAACGCTTCGTACGATTTCTTCTTACCTAGAATACTATACAAAGATGATAAACTTGTTGTGCTAGACAAGGACAATAATAATGCAACTATAGCGGATATTGATAAATATGATGAAACTTATTCTGATAGTGAGGATTCTGGTGACGAAAACAATTTGTAACACATTGTACATATTCACTCATTTATTTAAAAAAAAAAGATCGATGTATAATAGATATTATTCGCAGCGAACAGGATAAATTTTGTTTAAATGTTATTTTTGTTCCTTTGTCTAACTTGTCTTTCTTTTTAAGTAGATTTTCTTAAACCTTGTGTTTCTTCGACTCTTTTTCAAGTGCCTTTTCTTTTGCCTTCTGGTACAAAGACACAAGCTTACCTTCCTTGGCAAGCATCTTTAGAAGTTCCATTATAAGCGGCAAGTAATTGTGCTTTCTTCTAATATTCTCTATTTGATACCTCTTTGATTTCCTTATTTCCTCTTCGATCAATGCTTGCAATCGTTCTAATTCCGCAGGATCAGAAACAGTGGACTTCTGTCTTTCATATAAAGTTTTTCTATCTGTTACTATAGCCATTAAATTGAAATGAATCTCGCCTTCGTTATACCTATAATCAAAAGTATATTTTTCTTATTTTTACCACATGTTTATATACCACTAATATATTTAGGTTTACATCATAAATAAAAGTTACTGAAAAAGAATTGTACATCTCACTTACTTGTTTATCCGCTTTTGAATTATAGGTTTCGCTGCCTGTATCCACTGCTCTCCTATTGGACACGGACCCAAGTCGATCGGTCCGTCCTTCAATCCATCTAATTCATACAAACGTCCATCAATTGGAACATAACTTATAAAATGAAAAACATCATCGTCCTTAGACGCCTGTTTGGAGTCATATTCAAACAGAGTTTGCCTAAAAATTTGAATACAAAACTATGTTAGAGAAGCAAGTAAAACACTAATATTGCATCTTTTTCAAAGAAAACACATACCTGGAAAAGGAATTGTGTACTTCTCTTATGATGTCAGAATTACTAAGGGCAAGCCCTCGCATATTGGCATCAAAGCTCTGACAGAAATTCTTGAATTCTTCTAAATTTGGTCCTAAAGATATATCTGAGTGCTTACAATTTAATAAGACGCTCAATATTGCTTGTGTTGCACAGGCATTGTTTATTACCTAAAGCAAATATTATTTTGCATTTTATATAGAAGATAATTTATACGTTAAACCAATCAGTATCAATTGTTTATACCTGTTTGGCAAAAAATATTTTGTCCAATCTGCTATCTTGAACAATATTTCCAGATAGTTCATCATCTTGCACCCATTTAAACAGAAATATTAGTCCGTGTATGGGTCTATAAAAAATTCGCGGAGATATTAAAAAACAATACTATGATTAATTGTTTAGGCTGTTTTTGTAATTTTATATTGACTACATAACCTCTTTACATCACAACACTACAGAGTCTAAAACTTTCTAAGAACTGTCAAAACAATAAATGTTAAATTCAAATATAACGTAAGGTGAAATACTTACTTTAAATCATCGAATTGTTCATCGTCCAAACTCCACAATTCTTCCACTTGTGCTCCCTTGACACCTACATGAGAGCAAATAGAATGACGCACGCATATACGCACACAAATTTAGAGTGATTAAAAATATATATACCAAATTCCTTAATCAACTCTGTGAAAACGCCAGGATCGCTTTCAATGAGACACCAATTTCCTACTGAATCTGCCATAGTTCAAAAACTGTCAGTCATCAGAAGAATGTCTTCTTCACAACCAGGATGCTGTGCAATGCCGCGGATGCCAGAGAATGACATCCCGTTGCGCGCGCACATACGACGAAAGCGTTACGTCATCAAAACAGCGAGACCGCGAAAGATCAAAGGTGCCACACAAGTTTTTACGATTGTTATTTGTTAAAATTCAATAAATATTGCTAACGTCACAAGACGAAGTGCACATAAGTGAAGATGACATATAGAGTAAACAAAAAGCCATATAATTCGAGAGGAAATAAACATCTAAAGTACACAGCACATGTATATACACACACACGAGTGTATAAATTTATCATAGAACATATATAATTCTTTATATCTCTGATTACAACGCCGAAATGTTACATAGAAAAAAAAAAAAAGAACCAAAACAAAACTTTACAAAAGATCGTAGCGAACCTGCCTATCACCTATACAGTGTAAAAGTATATTTGCGTAGATAACAAACATGATTATCAAAAAAAAAAATCATTTGTATAAAAAAGCATTATCGTACAAAAGTGTAAAAACCATTATCGTATTCGGTGTGCGTTATTACAACAATCATCTTTGTCTTTTTTTTTGCTGTTGTGCGCATGTATGAACACATGTGTAAGTTCTTATGCGTTGAAGTACGTCTTTCGCGCGCATAAATTAACGTGATTCCCGTCGGAAATGCGTATTACGGTAATTAGTTTACGTAAATATATCGGCACATGAATATGTGAATATTCATGTCTCAACGAGTCCTTGCTGGAGGATGTTGTGTTCTTCGTCCCAATCTCTGCTTACATTTAATCTATCATTCAATTAAAAAGGTATACGTATTTACAGAGTGTATATATATGGACATATAAAATTTAGAGCGTTACAAGTTTGTTTTCTCCCTCTCTCAGAAGCTTTTCACTCACATACACACAGAGAAAACTGATCTTGGAAAGTATTTTGCTAGTATTTTCGGAGAGAAAAGGAGAAAAAATACTAGCTTGTGTGTTATTTTAACTTCACACTTTGCGCAAATAAGCATGCATGTGCGTGTACGTGCGTGCCCGCGCTTGAGCGCACATGTGTGTGTGTGTGTGTGCGTGTGCGTGGTTCACATAATGATATGCAGTACACAATTATAGAATAAATAAATATACGTACACACGTAGTAAACGTATAAAAAAGAACTGAGTATTACTAAGAGAAATACTTAAAAAATCTCATTACTTAGTGTTTATATTTGTTTTTAAATATATATATAAACTATAATAACGATCACTATATCTTATCGCGATTCTTTCTTGAAGAAAGAAAGCACAACATCGTCAAAGTGGAGACTATGATATGATCGAGTTTCGTTCACCCTCGTCCGCTCGTTAGCTCGTTTTCCTATTACGTAGCAGAGAAAAATGTAACTATCATATGGACAAAGACACACGGAAAGTTTTACAATTACATAAATAATAAATCAGCGATTTGTTGCTTGTGACAAAAATGTTAAAGCGCTAAAACTGCCGTAAAAATCTCGTAGCGACAGACTAGTAGTCAAGAAACTTTTTGCTTTATTCTTCTTAATTAATTCTTAGAACTTTAAACAGAAGTTTCCGAGTTGAGTCGCAAAAGAAACTTGTTCGATTTCGGATGCGCCAATTGTTCCGTGAGATTGAAGTGCGGCAACTTATAAGCCGTGCAAAGAAGCGCTACTTCGCCCTGTCTCAACTGAAATTCACAACCGTTGGTGATCGGCCGCGAGGGTAACTCTCCCTCGCACACTAAGGCCCAATGATGCGATCGTTTCTGTCTCTCTTTCTCATTCGAGAGCACCGGACTTGTGGCAAAAAATGGCTCCAGGAACGCACGCGGCGCCGCGTCTTGGGCAAGACACCGGGCAAGACGATTCAAAATGGATTCTACGGAATGACGCGGCTGTTGCCGAGTGATTCTCAGATATTTCTGTAAAGCTCTCGCCATAGAAGGGAACACGGCCTGCGCGGCTTCCATAGGATCCATCGATCCGGAATTCGATGTCTCTACTTCGGAGTGTAAGCGCTTGATGTGCGCGAACGCCTCCTCCGCGGCAGTGATTAATCTCGCGCGACGTTTTCGCACTCGTCGTTCGTAATCGTGCTCTTCGTAGAAACGCTCGTTGTGGCTTGAATCACGGCGACGCGCCTGTGCCGCTAAAACCGCTCGGTCGCCACTACCGCCACGCGACTGCATAGCGCCGGTCACTCCGCCGTCAACTTCGTAAAATTTAAAACTCGACTGCTTTCTGCCCGACTTCGAGACCGGCAATCTTTCCAAGTACGGATTGTAGATCGGAAACTCCGTGTAATATCTCTCCAACACCCATACAGCTGCTCTCTGTATCGACAATTGGCCGATCGCGTAGGATCTTGATTCACCATCTGGTGATCTAACGATCTGTAAATGTAAACAATATATAATAAAACAAACATCGCAAAGATATATTGAGATGAGATGATGCAAGAAAACTGCTTGCTCACCTTAAGATAGAATGTAGGCTGTAGATGACGAACTTCAATAAGAAGCACAGCAACGTAATGTATAAATAGGAGCGTATCCGCGAGGGTACCTGCGTAATTTACTAAACTTTTGTACTCTGTTATTTCGCCATTGGCAGCAGTCTTAGCGCTCTCAGTGACCTGAAAGATATCGGACTAAACACATTTTACATTCACACAAAAGATCGCGCACACATTCAGTGAAAATTTACAGACCTGTACAACATAAAAAAGCCAATAAGTACAAATGCACAGTGTGGTGAGTAACAGTACTCCTGCCCTGAATAAAAATATACGCGGCATGGTAGCATTTCGCGGACGCAGGAATACTGCCCAGCTACCAATACCAAGTAGCACCAGTTTAAAGGCTAATCCCAGCAGTTGACCTTTGCATTCGGCGTTGCACGACAATAGCTGTAGCTTCTGCTGCATCGTTAGTACAGTCATGGAGTCGGGAAAGAATCCCAACTTAGGCAAGATGACCATGGCTATGGGACTGAGAAAGGCGCTTATGCCGAGTATCAGTGCTATGATCGGACTGACGTAGCGTGTACAGCTAGAACCGAACGTGTTTTCCACGTCATTCGGCCAGTGACTGACATCCTCGGTCGATTCCGATCTGTCGGAGGTATTTCCAGTAACAGCCGTGGTATTCTCTCCCCAATTTTCATCCTGCGGCAGTATCTGCACCTCAATCACCTCCTGTCCCAAATTATCCACGCTCTCTCCTCTCACGTTCACGGTTGTTTGAAACGGAGCCATTTCGTTGCTATCTAAGTTCTGTCTTTCTTTTCTTTGACTCCTTACGTTCCTGTGTACATCGCAAAAGACAAAATTACTCAGATAGATTTTGAAAGAAGACCTCTAGCTACTGTAGATGTTATAGTACTTTATATACACTACTTTTTAAATAATTAATTGCAAAAATCAAAATGTATTTACAAGAAAACAAACAAATGCTTTTTCAAAATAAATTCAAGATTCACGAGACTCACTTTCCGCTACGGTAGGAATGTTGCCTGTGGTGCTGCTTGGAGCTGTGAGATCGGTGATGTTTTTGGGAGCTCCTGCTGTGGTGGCTATGGCTATGCTCGCTAGCCCCGGACTTTACACTCTCCGTCTCCATTCCACGACATAGGCTACCGCCCGCTCGCTACCCCATAAGAGCATACCCACGTCGCTCGCGCGCGGTCGACAAACGACGGATACATGTACGCGCGATGAGGCGGCCTCCGTCGTCGGCTCAGTGATGCTCGTCGCTTCGGAGTACGCTATCGCGGAGAACCAACGTTCCAGACATCCTCGGTGAGTCGCGGCGTCGTCGCGGTCACGCGCGCCTTTGACATGCTCCGGTTCGCGAGAGCCAGTCGCTGCCAGTCGTCGTTGACGACACAACGACCGGAAACAGGTTTGGCACGGTATTGGTAAAAAAAACGAACGGCGTTTTATATATGTGTGTAAAACGCGAAAGAAAGCGGACGCGCGACACACCTCGACGCGCTTTATGTATTATTTCTCTACCCTCCCCCCCGTTGCAACGCGCATACATACGCGTCGTCGACCAGTTTCTTACTTGACAGGCTACCACATTCCGTGATAATTGCCGCAATTGAAAAACACCGCAGCTTCTCTAGGGACATTTCAATTCCCGGAGGGCCGGTTTTCAATTAAACGGCGATGACAAATAGATCCGCGTTCGCAATGACCTAGTCGGCGAATCGACCAATGCGATCGGATTGTTGCAAATCCGGCCTGCACAGTTTGTCAAACCGCGTTTGCGCAAGCGCAAACTCGAATAGCGAAAAGGTTTTCGCAAGAGACCAATTTGCTCACTTCAGCGCGTACACACACAGGACGAAAGTTAAAGGATTATTTCAATTCAATTTGGCCGAAGGATTTGGAAGAGAATGGTTGCGAAAACGCGTGCGATTAATTTGTTCTCGAACAAATTGAAGTTTTTTTATTTCATCAACAGTAGGTAGACACTATGTGTAGCATATATATATATATCTCATATCTTTTTTTTTGATTTCAATTCGTCACTTGTTGTACGTTTTTAGAAATTTCTCGTGACTTGTCTGACTTTCTTCGCTAAATCCTACTGTTCGCTAAATTAACGATCGCACTAGATAGATTTTTTGTCATCGGAGCGAGGAAATAAACAAATGGTATGTAGTTCGGTCCCCTTCTTATGATACGACGAATCGGCGATGTATAATTGTCGTGAATTCTAAAATTATTGAAAAAAAAAAGAATACTATGCGGTTTTTTTTTTTTTTAACGTTATTGTTCCTTGAGAAGTCGTCAACTTCGAGTGTACTATTTCTATATACATACGACGTAATACGAGAGTTGTAAATATATATGTATATATATAATGTCTAATTGCGCTAAAATTTTTCTATAATTCGTAGATTGACCTTTCGGATACATATTTTCGGAAAGTTGACGATAAAGTTTTCGTAAGAGATAAGAGACGATCGGATCATTCATTGTTTTTCTCGCAAAAATATCACAATTGATATGTATATATTATATATATATATAATATCTTACGTGCAATATATATGTGTGTCTCTCGATCGGAAAACAAAAGAGAACAAGATACATAGTTTTTCCGTCTTTCGGTTTACATGCGTTCGTGTAAGTATGAAGTCGTCGTATTGTGTGCGTAAACGCGTAATTCGCAGATAGAGTACAATCTTCTCTATACATATACATTTATATATGTACACAAAAATAGAGAACGCGCGTGTGTGTGTGCCGAAATTGTTTTACATACAAATACACACACGTATTGCATATAAAACACGTTTGCACAACGCGCGTTTAATAAATTAGATCGAAATTGGTCCACTCAATTGTTCAAGATACTCTAGAATTTAATTTAATTGCTTGTCACAACGTGCATCTACCGTTTCTTATTATATTTATATTGACGTTTTTCTCTCTATGTTGATAATGGTATTTAAATATATATATATATATATATATGATTAAATTTTTCTAGATCTCGCAGAAGAAGTTTAATTTTGGTTATTCGAACTATTGTGTGCCAGTGTTTTTGATTACAATCCTCATCATCGTCAACTACAACACTTCGATCGGTTAATTCGCAAATGCGAATGATGTAAATCAAGAGAAGTAACACGCTAATGTTTATTTAATAACGAGAGATTTTGAATTACATCGGAATATAATTTTAAGGTAGAATAGGTGCAACGGTCTTGATAGAGATTTGAGTAAAAGCGATTTCCTTGTGGAACTAGATTTTCCGTAACTCGAAAGTTCAATAGAACGGTCAATCTTTGCGAAAACAAAAAAGAATTTTCTTTAAAAAAAAAAAAAAAAAACAGGAGTGAGTCAAGTTCATTCTTTGAGTTCCTATTTTTTTGATTGTCACCAGTTGTAAGTTATAGAAAACAAACTTTTGTGTTTCAAAGATATTTCTAAATAGGACAAGTTTAGGCTTCGATTAGGCCTCGACATGTCTCTCTTAAAATCACTTTTGTTAAAAACTCACGGTCGAAAAAACTCACACGATAATAATTAGTAACGTATCGCCACGAATGAGAGTAGAAACTTTTTTTTTTTTTTTTGTATCATATCTAAAAATATCGATATTAATTATTCATGTAATTAAAATTATTGCATATTTTTGCAGAAATTACAGAACGGAAATTGGAAATACATTAATTAAACATAATTCGTGCCGGCGGCGCAGCATAAAAATTTGAAGCCGCTGCGGAAATAGGACGATTGTTGGTCTGCGTTGTTGCTCCACCGGTGCATCCTCCGACTTCCGTTGGTTCGACTGATTTTGTTTCCGGGATTGTGAAGCGCCATGGACTTTTCTGCGGGAAAAATCGGACAGAGAAAAAAACAAAGGTAAACTCATAGGTCGAGTTATTTTATTAGACGGGCGTGTCGCTTCGTTTAAAATAAAAAATGAAAAAATCTCAAATGATTGAAAAAATTGTTTAAGTTTTAAAAAATTTTTTTCAAAAAACCAGAATAAATAAATACGCGAATAAATTCGTTTTTTTCGGGGGTCTAACTGCGCGACAAAAAAATAGAGAGAGAAAGGTCACGGTATCGGCTCTTTAAATCCTGCTGAAAAGTAGGGATATATAATTCCGTTATCCGTGTGACACGATCGCGCGCTATAAAGTGTAATACTCTCTATCGGGAATCTTTCCGGATAACGTCGCGCGCGCTCTCGCAACCAGGAATATAAAATTCTGCGAGAGAGAGAGAGAAAGAGAGAGAGAGAGATTGAAAGCGCGCACCACACAGTAACTTTCGTATGTTCATTGCTATCCGTATGTGAGGATAATCTCGCGGGATTTGACATAAAAGGAAAAGGATGTAGACACGCTCATCGATCCTAAACAGTGAATGCAGACATGTTCCGCTTAGATAATACTCGGTTCGTATCAATCTTGCTTTTTGACTGGGCTCTTTATACACGCGGACGCGATATTTGGAATGCAAACGTGAAAAATTTTTCTCATCGGAGAGACAGAGCCGAGCGATAAAAATTCTATTCGATTTTCGCGTCGCGAAAGAATTGAATTAATTTCCCGCCGTGTGCGAAAAAAGAGAATATTAGGCAGCGAACGCTGAATTAATCCGACACGGCTCTGTTGCTGAACGAGCGAGCGAGGGGATGTGACCGATCACGAGAGAAGCATGTGAGCGCCACAAGGAGGTGTGAGGCAATTTGCCGCTTCTCGGCATTTGTGTTTCCGACGACAAAGGCTTTTCAAACTCTCGCTTTTCTAAACAGCGCGACAGCGGGATTGTGATTCGCAAAGATTCGCGAGCTCACTCATCTCGCACATTTTCCACCTGCTAGTAATTTTTTTTTTTTTTTTTTTT